ATATATATATATATATAAAATAATAAAAAAATATAAAATCCATTATTTTAATGAATTTTTACAACTCATAGTGCTAATTCTTTCGAATATGTGAAAGCGCTGATACCGAATATAGAGGTTAGATTAGGTTAGGTTTAGATATCTATTATATTTACATTATATTTATTCGTTATATGCTTGATTTCTCGTGAATATATATATGCTCGAGAGTCATTCGAGCTATTATTGGGGAAGAGAGGATCCCTCTTAAATGATTTCATTGAAACAATAGATCGTAAATTTTTTTAAATGTTTTCACACTCACACTCACATTCTTCTTTGTCTTTCGTCACCTGTCACTTTTTAGTATCGTCGATGTTAGCAAAGATGAATCCGAGACTCGAAACTTCGTATCTGTTGCCGATCATAGATAATTTATAACGAATAAATATTGTGTTTAATTCAGAAAGAATAAACGAATAGAAATTGCAAGAATATTTGAATTTGCGCAGGTCAGATGTTTCTAATGAACCGGTTCTTCGATGGTGCGTTTTTGACGTTTGGTATCGACGTGCTCAGGTTTCTCGAATCGGATCAAGAAGACCGGGTCGATCCAATGATTTATGTGTTCCCGCGGATGACCAAATGCACCTTCTACAAATATGGCGTAAGCGGTGAAGTCGAAAGGCATGACGCCGTTTGCATACTGCCCTTGAATGTTGTCAACGAAAAAATATATGTTTTTCTATGGTTTTGGTTCCTCTTTCTCGGCGTGCTTAGTTTCATCACGGTTTTATACAGGGTAAATATATATATATATACATTTTTTTTTTAAATAAATTTCCAATTTAAAGCGTTGTTTTTAAACTTCTTTTCAAATTAATTACTTTAAGATTTAAGATTTTGTAATTTTTTATAATTTTGCGTTATGAATATAATAAATAAATTGAAAAATATCTATTGTAAATTTTATTCTAAATTTTCATTGTTCAAGAGATAATCTTGTTCAATTTTGAACATAATGAACAGAGGTTAAGAGATTTCAAGAGAAAATTTATAATTTATAAATTTCTGTAAATATCTAAAGTAGCTTGAGATATTATTATTAATATGTATATTAATAGTTTTCTTTTCAGAAAAATGGAAAAATTAAAATGGAAAAGCGCGGAAATGTTTGTTCATAAATATTTTCTTTCTTACAATACAATTATTATCACTATGATACTCAATTAAATATCTTCAATAACATTTGAAACATTCTTTTTTAAAAAAGATCATGATTGAAAACCTACTCTTTTCTCCTTGCATATGTACATTTATCTTAATCTTCTTTTTAAAATGTATACTCAAGTAAACGAAATGCTTTCCCCTTTTTTTTTTTTAACAATTTTTATTCTATTTATTATGTTATTTTTTTTATATTCGTTCAGTCTTTTTTTTTTTTTAATTTTTATTTCTTTTTTTTTTTTTTTTAGATCGTAATTATATTTTCGCCACGAACGAGGGTATACCTTCTACGATTACGATTTCGTTTAGTCAGAAGAGAGGCCGTAGAAACGATAGTTCGACGGAGCAAGGTCGGTGATTGGTTTCTTCTCTACATGCTCGGCGAGAATTTAGACACGGTGATATACAGGGATGTGATGCACGAGCTCGCGAATAAGCTTGCCTCGAGACATCATCACAGTGTGCCCGGGATCAAAGGAGAACTACAGGAAGCCTGATCGAAGTGAGTGCAATTTTTTCGTTAATTCTTTTTTTTTTTTTTTGATTAACTAAATAATTTTTCACATCAAAATCATTATGTAATAAAAATGAACGAAAAAAAAAAACAAATCATCGTTCTAACTTTTAATTTTTAAAACGTAAGAAAATATGTAAATAAATTTAAATATCGATCTAAAAGCAATATTCGTCATTTGCTTGAGGCAATAAATTTTACAACGTTCCGTTTTACAACGATCACAATGTTCTTTTGTACTCTGCCAACCAAAGACAATGTAACCACGAATCAACAATACTAACGTCGCTGTATTTCAGGAACTATTGTAAACTTGTGCATACGCGTGTGTTTATACGAGCATTTTTGCTCATTTTAAGTGCTTTCGTGCGTTTTCAAAATTTCCTTGCTAAAAACAGGATATACTCTCTATATATAAACATTGCGCTGTTTTTCGTTGTAAAAAAAAAAAAAAAAAAAAAAATGTAAGAGCCTTTGATTAAGCGAGCATAACTAAAAAATTGAATATCGGTCAATTAAATATGAGTTTGTAAACTTTCAGAAATTGAAATTTATTAAAAATTTTGCTTCCTGAAAAAATAATAAAAAAAAAAAAACGAAAAGAAAGAAATAAAATGAAAACAGGAATGAAAAAAATTAAATAAAAATCTATTTTTACTTTTACTTATCTTATTACATCGGAATATTATTATTTTCTAAAATCGTACAATTTTCATTCGAAATATATTTTTTGTACAAGTAGTAACCTCAAACATATTCAAAGAGAGGTTATATATGAATTTTCTTCAAATTGTTCATAAGTGTTTTTGTAAAAAAAAACCTCTGAATATGTGTGAAATGGCGTCATACGACCACTTGTGGCTGATATCCCCGATACAGACTTGCTTGCATAAACTCGCAGGGGGCATAAATTTGACGGCAACAAGCTTTGGACATTAACGCGTCCTCCTATTTTCGGCCATTTAACAGCCAGCCGTGCAAGAGAAGAGGCTCTGTTCTGTTGAGTTTCGGTTCGAAATAACAGCATCATCTTGAAAGCGACGCATGCGAAACATCAGTTGTAAAAGGAAGAATGCGGATGGTATATTTGTCCATCGACGCGCAACAGGCAAATCGATATTGCACTCTGCATGTAGTTAGGTTAGGTTGGCGCGTAACAAGTTTCGTTATTCCAAGTTTCAAATTAGGAGGCGGATATTATGAGATTTCACGAAGATGATATATATTCCTCTGATAATTCAATTATGAAAATTATTATAATTTTAATGATTTGCAAATGAAATAATATATATATATATATATGTGTGTGTGTATCTAATATTCGTATTTTTGTCGATCTTGCAGATTGCCTCGGAGAGCTATGGAAACGAACACGATTCTCGAGGCGACGAGAATATTTTTCACTGAAAAACAAAAGTGCAAAGGATGCCAAAGGCGGAGATTCAAGGACATGCGATGAAATAGAACGGATCGTTTTATATCCGCTACTGGAATCGCGCGTTTTCCTTCCTTGTATCTTCGATACGGTTCGAGTGTTATTTGTGAATTATTTTTATGAACGTTGCGCATACCAAGAAATTTGTATTAATCGTGCTCGCGTAAAAGACAAATTGCCAGCGTGCCTTACGACGATTTTAAATTTTTCAAGCATTTACCATATTGTCACACTCGAATTTTATAAATTGGGAGAATAGAATAATAAGAAAGAAAGAACGAACGACGAAATTGTAACGATATTATATTCGAGGTTGAGAAAGAAATATGGGTTTAAAGATAGAGTTTCCATGGACCACTTTTACAATTGACCAACCAACTAAAAAATTAGTTTCTTACAATGGAATAAGAATATAAGACGAGAAAATGGTTTTTTATTACATTGAAATTCCTAGTATATTGTTAGAAATGAAAATAAAAGTATATATATATATATATATATTCCTTTCACCTAAAGTGTTCTACCTCGTAAGTACAGTTACGTTGAAAGCCGGCAGGTTGGAACTCCGCCATTTTCTCATGAAACACGTGTTACGTATTAGGTTATTACAGATGATGTGATCAAATTTTTGCAATAAAATATAGAATGATTGAAATTTTATTGAAAATAATATCTATTGATATGTAAGAAATTGAAGTCATAGAAAAAGAATTTTTTTCAATTTTTAGGTTAAATTAATATTCTGAATAGCTTCAAAATTAAACTTGCATAGAATATAAAATATTTTCCAAATTAATTTTCATCTATGATTCGTATTAATATATAATTTAATTAAAGATGAAATATTTGAAACTGTGAAATCCTGAAATAAATAATATTCAATGAAATATTTGTCGGAGCCATTTTATATGCAACAACTTGATATATTGATAGGAAGATTCTGCAATGAGAAAATGTTAACTATATTTTTCTTTTGCAAAGACTGTGCTAACGTAAAACGAACTCGCGAGAGTAACTTTTACCGATCGTGAAAAATAAATGTATTTTTATTTAAAAGATAATTTAATAAATATAATTTATCATATTGAGAGAACAAAAAAGAAAATGATGTTTATCACAAATCCTGTTATAAATTGTCTGTATCTTTGAAGATATAACAAGAAAATGATTACATCTGTGAAATATAGAAATTTTGGTATTGAACGAGAATTTTTTTTTTATTATTCATAATATTCATCATGTGTGTAAAAACAAAACAATTTAATTTAAAATCGAGTTAAAAACCACGAAAAATCGAATAGTGCAAATTTTCTTTAAATTAAATAATAATTTCATCTTAATTGATTTTCATTAAAATTATTATTTGTGGAATTGAAGTAATTTCAGTTATGCATGCTCTATTTTGTATATAGGTAGTCCGATTTTAATTTATTATCGCAAATATCTCTAAAAATGCATTAAGTAGATGAAAATGCTTTTAGAAAATTACAAAAGATCGATGGAGATATCGTAAGGTATAGACGGATAATTAATTTTACAAAATTTAGTACGAAAGAAAAGAAAAATATAATCTACAATTTGTCAAATCACTTATTAAGATAAATGAGTAAAAGAAAACAAATATTGTGTAAAAGAAAAATTGAAAAAAAACGTCTCTCGCGATGCACAAAATATTTAATAGAAATAAAAGAAAAAAGATTTTATTAGATTCGCATCGTTACAAAAAAAATTTTACATATTTATCAAAATAAAACTTCACAGCAATAACATTTATTACGCTATTTCGACTATAAGAATATGAATAGGATTGAATACGAATTCGGACGAGTCTAGCCGAAGTTGGACGAATTGAAAAAAGATAGACATACTATTTCTAATTAAATTCGCGCGCGAATTTCAAAAATCTAAAAAACAATTCAATCATTATTATGTATTTACTTGACAAATTACTGAATAGAAGTTTCGTAGATGTTTCGTTTTCATCATAAACTTGCTTCAATTCGTTATCTTTATTACCAAATGCTTTCTCAAATGCGTAACAACGTTTTCGCGTATAGAGGCGGCAAATTCGAGAAAAGATCATGATGTGTGTACGATTGGCCTTATTCGGAAATACGTGGCCAGAAGAAGGACCCACGAGCACTGGCCAACCGGTCCATCGATCCTATGTAACAGTCGTGAAACACGGCAGCCTCTGAAAAAGGACGTGGAGGTGAACGCACGTTCCTTCTGCGTAATCTGATCAAGAGCACTGGCATTTAAAAGATCCTTTATATCCTTTCACTGTCCACCGCTGCTGTCCTGGTAATTCTTCGTGTCAATTACATCCCAATATCATTTTTTTCTTCCTTCTTGTTGGAATCATGTTATTCAA